ATAGATAGATAGATAGATAGATAGATAGATAGATAGATAGATAGATAATTCTTTATTGGCCAAGTGTGATTGGACACACAAGGAATTTGTCTTGGTGCAGATGCTCTCAGTGTACATAAAAGAAAAGATTCAAGAATCATAAGGTACAACACTTAATGATAGTCACAGGGTATAATAAGCAATCAAATCATACAGGAAACAATCGATATAAATCGTAGGGATACAAGCGACAAAGTTACAGTCATACAGTCCCAAGTGGGAGGGGGTGGGCAATAAGGAGTGATGAGAAGAGCGGGCAGTAAAGCACTGTGAAGTGGTGTATAAGTCTTATTGCTATTGCTAACTTAGCAACTGCAGTGATTCACTTAACATCCATGGCAAGAAAGGTCCTAAAATGGGGTGAAACTCACCCTAACAACTGTCTTGCTTAGTGACAGAAACGTTGGGCTCCATTATGGTGTGATAAGTCGAGGTCTGTTATTGCTCACGATCACCTTTTTTCTCTCCTTCCCTCCCAGCTGCACAAGTGATTCCTTCGACGGCCACTCGGCCTCAGCGCCCACCCCTCAAGCCTCCCCAGAAAGTCAAGGCCACCATTGCTAACATCCCCGTTGGTTCTTACGAAGCCGTCTCTTCACCAGGCCCCGTCCGGCCTCCTGCGGGGCAGCACCAGGATTCTGGAGGAGCGCGATACCACCGGGAGACCGAAGCCTTGGAACGGCCCTCACGCGAGGCAGGGCCCCAGGACACCCCCTCTTCCCCTGCCTGCCAGGGGGCCGAAAAGAGCCCCGCCAAAGCTCAGGAGTTGAAGCGAGACTGCTGGGAGCCAATATCGCCCCCGGCATCCCAGCCGCCGCAAGTAACGGAGACCCCGGCCGCAGAAGCCACCTGGAGCCAGCGGGAGACGGCAGCGGGGTCCACTGAAGAGGGTGCTGCCCGTGAGCCTCCACCGCCCTCTCTGTTGGGCAGCAAAGGGACTGAAACGGTAAGAAAGCCCAACAGCACTGCCAGGCATCTTTCACACTCCCCATAAGCCATCTTTGTGACTTCTGGCCACCATAGCCATACTGTCATGCCCTTGTTGGAGTCTGATTCTGATTGAGCAGCTGACAGGAAGTGGGAGTGTGGCTGTGGAAGAAACAGGGGAAGAGCACAGTCCGGCTGGGCATTCAGAGAAAGACCCAGGGCCACCCCCTCTTCATCCTAGGGCACACAGGGAGGAACGGAGAAGGGAGCAACGTGGCTTACGGGAGGGATAAGGGCCCTGATCCCTCTCATTAGTTGCAGCTGGGAGAACAGGATATAAGCAAAGTGTGTTTTATCTTGGTTGAGGCTTATCTGGGGTTTGGTGTCATCCCAACTCTGGTTGCTGCATTATCTTGTGGAAGTCTGCAATTTATTATCCTGGCCTAATAACTTCAGTGTGGTTTGTGTTGGTTTTTTTTATTTCTAATTATCTTTACTTTGGGTTCGGACTGCATTTACTCAGACTTGTAGACTGTTTTTTGGAAGAGTTTGATATTTAGCCGAGGATAATTTGACATTGAGGCCCAAGTTGGAGGCATTAAAGGGAACTTATTCTACTCTTGTGACTTTGTTATTTTTGTGTCACGCCCCGGGTCATAATATATACCCTGCAGCAGGTCTATGAAGCTCGTGGTGCGCTAAGCAGCCTTTTTAAATTTCACGCTGTACTGTATTTTTACAGAGTATAAGACGCTCCGGAGCGTAAGACACACATTAATTTTTGGGGAGGAAAATAAGGGGAAAAATTCTGCCTGTGCCTCCCTCCATCGGTATTCGCCTGGCTAGCGTCCTTAGCATCCTGGCTAGCTAAAGCAGGGGTCCCCAACCACCGGTCCGCGGAACAAGTCCTACCGGGCCGCTGGTTGCTGGCCGCCGCCATCTTTTTTTGATGAAAAAGTGCTTCCGGTGAGCTTTTCCGGGTAGAAAGCTCACCGGAAGCACTTTTTCATCAAAAAAAGATGGCGGCGCCCAGCTGATGCCGGTACCGGGCCGCGGCATAAAAAAGGTTGGGGATCACTGAGCTAAAGTACATCATTGCAGCCTGATTCAGCACAAGCCGCTGATTGGCAGGTGGATCAGCCTCCTGGAACACCCAGCTGTTCCCAGAGGTGAACGTTAACCACCCCTGTCTTACCTTGATGAATGAAGGCGAATATATGCATCCCAGGATAATGTTGCAGGATCCAATCTGGATCCCGGCGACAAGAGCCAGATTGGATCCTATCTTATCCTGGTTCTCAAAACTAATAAAGAGGAACCGCTTCCTGTTTGCGCCTCGGCAACCTGCTGCTGTGTTCCTCCCCGTGGTTGGAATCGTCTCTTCCAAGCTGCTCACTAGCGTCCTGTCCTTGTCTCCTCGTCCAGGCCCCGAAATTCCCCGGCTCCCCTGACTGGAGATCAGCTGGTCCAGAGGCTCGTCCTGAGGCTTCGGCTTCATCTTCAGCTCCCCCTTCCTCCTCTTCGCTGAGCCCGATCCCGTCCAACGCCGGAGAGGGCTCCCAAAGCGGCGCTTCGGCTCCCCCTCCAACAGCAGCCCCTCCAACAGACAGCCTTGAAGCAAAGGAGGCTCCAGGTGGGAAGAAAATGAAGGTCCGGCCTCCCCCCCTGAAGAAAACCTTCGATTCGGTCGACAAGTGAGTGGCGGGAAAGCGAGCGCGGACCAGTGTCTTGTGCCCAGAGACCGAAAGATTCCCACTACGTGGATTGTATTCTTTTTGGAGGGGTGGGGTTGGGTGGGACAACACTTCTTTGTGACTTTATCATGGTGGCGATTTGCAGCTGTAGAAAAGCTGCACCTCTTCCATCTCTTTCTCGTCCGTTTCCGTCTCTCCTCTTTGGCCAGCCACGCCAGGCTTTGTTGGGTTCTCGGAGTACCTTCTGCTGGAATTCCAACGATAGTGAACCTGCGGGAGGAACGGAATGCATGTTAAAAACACTTCCCCGAATCCTCTCTTGGTGGTCAGTAGTTCCCTCATGGGCCTTGGAGCTTTCACAGTGCAAGGCAACAGGATAGTTGCAAGACCTGAACCTGTGAAGAGATTCTTTTTCACAAGGAAACAGGCCCAGATAGGCTCAGAGGAAAGGCAAAGAGATTCTGGGGGATGTATAAAAACTAAGAGAGTTATTCCTACGTGCTATTTTATTATTGATTTTATTTATATGCCACCTTTATTACTTTTATAAATAACTCAAGGTGGCGAACACACAATATTCCTTCCTCCTGTTTTCCCTACAACAACAACAACTCTGTGAAGCTGCCTTAAGAAAGTTCAAAACATCCTTAAAGATCCATCTCATCCTGGGCACCCCCTTTTTTTGAACTATTACCATCTGGCAGACGGTACAGAATAATAAAAACAAGGACAAAGAGGCTGAAAAACAGCTTCTATCCCAGGGCAGCAGCTCTTTTGAATTCTAATGTATAGTACAGTGTTGGTGCGGTGTCAGAGGTTTTCAGTTCAATGTGTGGAGTGTGAAGGATGTGTGTTTGTGTTTATTTTCATGGTCATGATGTGCACTGAAGATGGTGTTTGATTTTGTTGTAGGAGGTGCAATGACAATAAAGTAAACTAAAAAAAAAAAAGTGGGTTGGACTGAGAAACTGAATGGTTCAAAGCCATCCAGCTGGTTTCCATGGCTAAGGCATGACTAGAACTCACAACCTTCTGCTCTCTACCCCGGTGCCTTAACCACTAGACTATTATTGCTTGGGCAACAACCCAGTTACTGGGAAGAGCCAAAGGTCCCTGACATGGGCAGTTTTTAAGCTGGTGCATCTTTCAGCCACACCCACAGGCTTACTTGGAAGCACCTTTTAACACACTGAATCAAACTTCCCACCTCTGTTCGCCTGCCCTATGATGGCTGGGTCCCAGGGCTCTAATTCCTTGCAGAATAGAGGCTGCAGAGACCTGTGTAAGTTGTACTTGAGGCCCCCTGGAATCCCTAGAAAGGCCCTATTCCTAGAGGGGTTCCTGGAGTGATTGGGCAGCACTGCCGTAGGGAGGGATGCCCAGGAGGCTGGATGGGAAGCAACAGGGAGGGCCTGGGGGATCTGCCTTGCCTTGCCTGACTCCTCCCTGCTCTCCTCTTGCGCCCCAGCAGGGTTCTCTCAGAAGTGGATTTTGAGGAGCGCTTTGCCGAGTTGCCCGAGTTCAAGCCGGAAGAGGTCTTGCCTTCACCTACACTGCAGTCCCTTGCCACCTCTCCGCGGGCCATTCTGGGCAGCTACCGCAAGAAGCGCAAGAATTCCACCGGTAAGTGGGAAGGAGAAGCGCGTGAAGGTCGCTGAGTCTCGGGAGAGAAGACAGACGTCTTGAGTCCTGCTGCTGCTGACAAGGTTCTGGGGCCTGGCAACTCTACAACTCAAGGACCCAGAGTAGTTACTGGGAAGTGATTTGCAAGTTGTTGTTGTTGTTTTTAAAATAGTGGCATGATTGATTGAGTTAACCTGAAATAGACGGCTAAGTTTCTTTCTTTCTTTTTTGCTTTTGTGTGACAGTTTCTCTAGTTTTTATTAGTAAAAGACAATCAAATGTTCATACAACGATCCTTTTTTTAACATTCTAAAAAAGAGCAGGAATTTTGTTCACTTATTTGTATCCCGCCTTTATTCTTTTTACAAATAACTCAAGGCAGCGAACATCTCCAACACGCCTTCCTACTCCTATTTTCCCCACTCAGACATGATATTCTTCCGATTAAAATCGGAATTCCGATTTTTTTGGGAATCGCCCCCCCCTTCCCCCCTTCTTCTCCTCCTTCCCCTCCCCTCAGAGGCCCCGAGTCAGGAGTTGCTACCGCTGGCGCGGCTCTGCGTGGCTCCAGTCCCGCGTTGCCTCAGGAAGGGAAAGGCAAAAAGGAAGAGCCGCGGCGGCGCTTTGCAACGGCAGCAGCGGCTCCTGGTTTTGCCTTTCCCTTCCGGAGGCAACGCGGGACTGGAGCCGTGCGGAGCTGCGCCAGCGGTAGCAACTCCTGACAGCCCCAGCCGGATACCTGAGCGGAGGGCGGGCGGTGCGAGCGGAGGCCGCTGAGCGGCAGGAAAAGGGAGCTGGGCAGCGATTTCTTGGCGCGCGGTGGGGGGTCTCTTTTGGCCGGCCCCGATTTTTTTTTCAGAGGGGAATATCATGCCTGCCACTCTATGAGGTGGGGTTGAGCTGAGAGGGAACGATTGGCCCAAAGTCACCCAGCTAGCTTTCATGCCTAGGATTGGTCTAGAACTCACTTTCCTCCTGGTGGTTGGCACAGAGTCGCCCAGTCATCCTAAGGCAGGACTAAGGACTCAACAGTCTCCTAATTTCCAGGCCAGTATCTCAACCGCTTCATCAAACTGGCTGTCCACCGAAAAGGGCAAGGGCCTTGGGCAGCTTTTGGCACAGCACTTGGGACCTGGGAATACACTGTGGGGGTCTCTCTCGTGCTTCTGGATCATTCTCCTTTCTCTGCTCCCCTCCCTCTTGTAGAGCAATGTGGAACAACAAGCAGCGTCAAAATGGGCTACCGTGACCGTTTAATCTGACAGTCTTTGAATTTCACACAGCGTAGGTCGCTGGAGCGCGAGCGTCTCTTGTGTGAGCATCTCTTCCCCCCTAACCTGGGGTTCCTTTTTCAGACCTGGACTCCTCCACGGAAGACCCCATCTCCCCCAAACGGAAGATGCGGCGTCGTTCCAGCTGCAGCTCGGAGCCCAACACTCCCAAGAGCGCCAAGTGTGAAGGAGACATCTTTACTTTTGACAAAACAGGTAGTTGGAAGCCGGAGGGAATCCCCCCGCCCAAGGGCAAGGAGGGCTGCTCAGTGGAGGAGTTTATTTATTTAAGAAGGTTTATACGGCCACCCAGTAACTGGTCCCTGCAGCTTACAAGGCTAAGAGTCCAGTTTAAGAACAAGAGAACAGCAATAACCCTTCTCCTCCCATCCTCTGGTAGCAACAATCAAATGAACCATTTGCTGGGCTCCGTCCCATTCTGGGGTCCCCAGGCCCATTGGCAGAGCCATGTCTTCAGGGCCTTTGGAAAGAGGGTCCAAGTGGGGGCCAATGTTAATTCCTCGGGGGGGGGGATCCTCCATGGAGAAGGCCCCTCCTCCTTGGTCCTGCTAGATGGACCTCCTTAGGAATTGGCAAGGGTAGGGCTTCTGCCGGCCTCCCTCTTCCAGCAGTGTCCATCTCTCCACAGGCACCGACACGGATGACGTACTTGGGGAACTGGAGTATGAGAAGGTGCCCTACTCTTCACTCCGACGTACCCTGGATCAGAGGCGGGCTTTAGTCATGCAGCTCTTCCAGGACCACGGCTTCTTCCCTTCAGGTAGGAGGGTTTTTTGTTTTTTATTTTTATTTTTTGTGGCATGGAGCGACCAGCTTTAGACTCCGATTCGCTGACTTCCAACTGAATTGCAGTCTTGGGTTTCGGTGGGTTCTGGATTTCCTAGAGTAACTCCCGCGGAGTCTTGGTTGCGCTAAAGAAAACGCTTCTTTTTTTAAATAGTGCAGTAGATGCTTTTGTTGGCTTTTGGACTTTGCTGGGGAGGGCTGTCTTGAAAGCTGCAGGCCAGAGTATGCTCATCTCTGGATTGTTGATTTAGGGGAAAAAAGGGCTTCAAGAAATAACCCTCTAGGGCAGGGGTCCCCAACCACCGGTCCGCGGACCGGTACCGGTCCGTGGAACAAGTCCTACCGGGCCGCTGGCTTGCTGGGCGCCGCCATCTTGTTTTGATGAAAAAGTGCTTCCGGTGAGCTTTTCCGGGTAGAAAGCCATTTCTACCCAGAAAAGCTCACTGGAAGCGCTGGGCGCCGCCATCTTGTTTTGATGAAAAAGTGCTTCCGGTGAGCTCACCGGAAGCACTT